TATGGATGACATTACAGAAAGTTTATTTATCCTTCTATACAATCAATAGTTTGGTTGTAATGATGCCCCCTAGTGACCACAGTGACTATGACAAGAACAAAAGAAGTGAACAAACAGAGCCCTAATGTTTGGGCACTGCAGTGGTGGGGGTGAATGGATGGGTCAACAAATCACTGAACTACAACAACGCTATTATTTTTAAACCAAGAGCCAGTGTTTCCTTTCACTTTTACATCTCCATAACCTTAACCTCATGTTTATCACTGTAACAGCAACAACCATGGTAACCCCGATCTTTCTTATAACCCAACAAAGTTATTTTTGAGCCTAAACCAAACCAAGTTGCTCCAAACAACTTGGAAACAGTTTCAGAGCTCTGTACCAGCACTGTTACTCCAAACAGCAGAAGAAAATGCTGTAAAACTCAAATTTAACAAGGGGGAAAACAGACACAGGCGCATTTTCTCATGAATCTATATTTTACACAGGAGAAGGCAACGTGCTAACAAGTGGGTACGTCATCCACTCCCACATGAGGCACTGAGGCATGTAACAAGGTAACACAGAAAAAGTACTAAATGTCCTTCAAACACATACAGTTCATGTCCCCCAAAAAATAAACACCCAAGTTCTCAAACAGCAAAACTTGTACTGTTTTTTTTTACAAAATCGTCACAAGTTCTCAATAAATTTGTTTCTTCAGCAGCCTAATGTTTCAGCAGTAAAACAGTTCAACACGTAGCATTCAGAGAGCATCTCTGATCTTGGATCTCCAGTTGATGGCCCTTTCAAAGCCATTTTTGCCAGTCTGGTAATCCTTGATAGCCTGTCTGATCTCTTCTTCTGTGGTCATTACAAATGGACCTGAGGGCAGACACAGCATACAAATTAAATTACAATCACTGATTAAGTTCTGTTTGTGACTTCTGAAACACATCAAGCACTTATTTTATTCAGCAGCTTGTTGGAAAAATGGATGGTGTAACAGAAATTACCTTGTTGTACCACCGGCTCATTGATTGGTTCTCCAGCGATGAGCACAAAATGGGAAACTTCAGAGCCCTGAGAGGAAATAATCGGACTTCAAACATCTCTGTGTGCACTATAAGTGGACAGACTTTCATTTGTCATTTTTAAAATTAGTAGCTCCTAGCTTAAGGACGAGGACTCTTGTAATCTAGTACTTATGTGCTGTAGATTTTGTTTTATTTTTATGTCTCTTTTGCTGCTGTAACACTACAAATTTCCCCACTGCGGGATTAAAAAATGCTTATATTATCTCAACAGATCACAAGATCAACCATTTAAGTCACAATGTGAAGAAAGAAACTACACATTGTGTTTTTTCTTACTATTCTTTTCGTGTGTGGAGTACATAATTCTTTTCTCACTTTTTGATTAAGTTGCATACCTTGTTCTCAGCCTTGACACAGTCTCCATCTCCAAACACCACGGTGTGATGAGGCTCTACCTGCTGCTGCTCCTGATCTGGACCTGAGAAACAAAAAAATTGTAAGTCCATCTTACATTTTGGACTTCAGTACAATATAATGTCTAAAAATACAACATTACACTGGTGTCATTTTACTTAGTTTGTGTAACAGGCACAGTAATTCCCATTAAGACAGTATCGACCTACTACTTTATTTTCCCATGCTCCCATTATTTTCAGAAAAACCTTCAAATTAGGTCAAGCACATACCAGCTGGAAAACAACATAATCCACCATTTCAAATTGTGTTCTTTGGAGTTTACGTTTTCCAACATGACTCAGTCATTCTGCTAATTTTCATTCTTTTCTCATGACTGCACATCATTACTATTTATTCCAGTGGCAGGGAAATGGAAACAAACACGCATTCAGTTCTGGCAAAAATGGCGCAGCACAATACGCATGTAATTAAAGATGGTGGATTGGGTTTCTGGTCTGTGAGCTCTTTTTGAAAACAAGTGGAAATCTATGGCTTTCCATGGGGGGAAATGAGAAACCGCGCTGGTGTTGTTGGTCAGTCACAGCAATGGTTAGAAACACGAAATGAAACCTGCTCATAGTTGGTAGTTATTAGGTTACAAGATGTTTATGCGTTAACATGAGCTTCATTGGTAATAATTTGTTCAACAAGAACCAAAGAACAAAAGCAATGGGAGTAAAATAGAAATATACAGTAGGCACCTGCAGGATTGAGATAGTTCAACCTGTTTTAGCCGCTTGTTTGCATGCTGCAACACTTGGCTGACTAATACTAGATGATGAGAAAGCCAGAAAATTCCACTTATGTTGGATTCATTTATCAAAGCCAGCTGGTCCTGATTTGGCCAGACTACATGTAGAGTCAGAAAACTTCACATTCAAATCGGCACTTTAATCTCAGCAGCCACGTTCATCCTCTCATGTCATCAAAACATCTGCCAGCAATTTCAGCCAAGTCTGAGAGGTCCTGCAGAGTAACAACGGAGAGTAATTAAATCATAATGAGATTTTATGAAAGATTACCAAAAGGGGAATTCAGACTGAAAACAAGAGGTTCCAACAAACCAACAAAGCCTCTGAAAATGAGTTCACTGTCTGTAAAGGGTTTGTTGTCATGCAAGGGGATTTCCCTGATCACACGATGTCCTCTGATCGTAGGAAATGCTGGGTTTCATGGTGGAAGGTCAAACTCTGATGCAAAAAGGTGAATTTATGACCAAGTGGGGAAAGTGATTGATGTAAATATTATCAATCAATCATATTTTCAGTGATGTTGCGGTAATTTCAGATGACGTTAAAGTGGTGGAAAGTCAGAGGAGATCATAGCTGAGTGACAGTATGAGTCCATCAGGCTTTAAGGTGGAACGCATTTTGGCGGGATGTTGGAGGGGAGCTGCGATTGGAGTGAGATCACACACATATTTGTAAGATAAGACGTCGACAGCAGGACAAGCAAGACGGAAAATCAGGGAGCTGCACATTTCCAACCAAAAGATGTTGGTATCACCCTGCTTTTTAGTGATACCTACCTAAATGCTTACCTATGAAACATTTAATGTACTGAACATCAAACGGACAAAACTCACCAACATGAATGGATCCTGACAGTGTATAGATGAATGCAGTCCATCCTGTCAAACAGAAATATTAATAATCTGCACTTAAACCTGAAATAACAGAGTAGATGAATACAAACTTGTCAGCAAACAGTTTTTACACACTCAGCTGTGATAGAGCAACATTACCGGTGCTCAGTTTCAGCTTCTAAGAGAAATATCTGCCTTATTATGTTTACAAGCTCATCGCAAACGGTTTCTGTCTGTCATTTAGTGCTGGGAGGGTAAAGTCTAAAGGATTTTGAAAACAACACAATGGCAAGTTTTCAGTACAATTGAAAAAGAAGTGTTGGGAAACAATTTCGAAATATGTAAATTAAGCTTGTTTCCATTATCTGCTTTTGAAGTGAATAAACGAGGCTGCATAGTGTTGTCAGAAGGTGGCGGTATAAGCTTGTTGTCCATGTATGTAAACAGAGTAAAAGAAGCTAAAAAACAAAACCAACTATGTGCCAATTTTTAAAAAAAATCTTGAAGACAAAGAAGAAGAAGACGAAACAAACTAAACTTTTGCAATCTGTGAGAGAAAAATGGAGAGAAGTCTTCAGGAATTATTTTCAAGCAGGAAACTCGAGAAAACATAACTTTTTTTTTTTTTTTCGAAACTGGGGAAGTTGTTTTGAATTTTGCAGTTTCCAATCCATTTTTCTAACGCTATGCTTAAAAATACACAAGACACCTTCTATAAACATGGCCAATGAGAGCCGTGGGAGTGAATGAACAAGTCAACAATAAAGTCCATTCACATCAATTCAAAGTGCGTTATCTGTTAACATCCAAAAAATATCATTAGATTTGATTTTACTCTGAATATCTACTTTTTTTGACCATTAGTATGACTGTGGAGCAGTGAGTCTCAGCTATGTTCTCATGCGTGCACTTGAGGACGTGCATGGATGCACGTGAACACACAAGTGACGTAATTCACATTCCTGTCGACTGTTTAATACATTTTCCTCTCTGACCCACAGGTAACTTGGCAAGAAAGTTAGCAAACATGCAGGTTTCCAACTTTGAAGACAAACCTTTGATTTGTGAATGTTCTATGAAATTATTAGATTACATTAAAGGAATTACACTGAACACATATTAATAACACTGACTATAAACATTTGTTTTTACTGCTGCTCTTAATAGAAAAAACACTTTATGCGTTGAATCGCGCAAGTGAATGTTTTATCACTGAATTTAAGTTTCTATTTTTAATGTGAAAAGGTTGCTGCTTCTACATAGACCTGCTTTGGAGGTCAGTTGTCAGTTGTTTTGGGTTTTGTTTTCTGTTGCTTTACCCCTAAAAAAGGCAGATTTGATTTAAAATAAATAAACAAATAAGCAGATCAGATAAAACCTCTTTCATTTCCATGGTAAGTACAATTTATTGGTCCGTTTCCCGCCGCAATGGGACAACATTCAGTAAAGTCTGTGGTAAACAGGGTCATCTCATGGCAAGGACACTTCAGGTTCCAGTAACACAAAGTGAAAAGACAAATGAGGCAGGGCGCTGGAACTATGAGAGGTATATCAGTCATCACAGTTCATATTAGAGAAACCAAATAGTGTATTTAGAAATGTTGTCCTACCTAAAGGGACTGGCTGCACATGCAGAGCTCCTGCCTGCAGCCTAAAGTCCAGGTACAGAGTCGGTGTCCTCGTGAAGACCTTGGACTAAACAAAAAAAAAAAAAAGTGGATCAGAAAACATGCATATTCCCACACACAAGCCACAAGCGCTAGATATTTTGTATGAAACTGAAAACACATTAACACAAATTTTAATACAGTGGCGCCAGCAACTGTCATCGTCATTTGTTTACAACTTTAGAACCGTCTGTACTGCTGCTCTGTGTGCCGGCTGAATAATAAGTTAAAGTTTTTCATCCACATAATCCAGTTATATGTTTGCATGTTTTTGCTGCAAGTGAAATATTTTACCACTAAACGCTTACGCCACATGAGCAGCTGATGCAAAGGACCTTAAGCAAACTCAACGATTTGTTATTTTGCGCAGAATTACTATTGCAAATATCAGTCAGGTAGCCAGAAACATTAGTCCAAATGAATAACAGTGGTGCTCTGTAGCCTCATACATAAAGATTCTTGAAATTAAAGGGAAATCTGGAATGTTGAAAGTGACATTGTATCACAATCACTCAATATATTGAAAACGTATTGGCTTCTTACTTTGAGGGACTCATCGCTCACTCAGTGCATTTTCTCCTCTTTCTTCTTTCAAGCTTTTTTGTTTGTTAGATTTTTCCACATATCGTGACCTGTTCTTGTCCAAAGCGTACTTTCCTGTAAACTGTGATTCAAAGTGTCTTCTTACCGCAGGAAACCACAATGTTTGAAGGACAAGGGGCATAAAACCGAGTCCAAACCAATTTGCTTGTTTCGAAAAACGCGAGTATTATCTGTAAAAACCCAAAATCAAGAGGCCAATACTGTATAAACATAATAAATAAAGAGAAACAGATGTTTCAATGCAGTGGTTTTAATAAACTACAGCTCACAGTGTCTCCTGCCCTGAAGTAACCTTTCTCCCTGTACACACACACACACATGTTTGTACTTATATCTTTATAAGGTCTCTCATTGAAAATAATGCCTTCTCTAAAGCCTACACCTGAGTCCAACCTGAAGCCTTAAGGAAAGTCTTTGAACTTTTGAAGGTGTGTCAGAAGCAGCCAAAACGCTCCAAAGCTCTTAAACTTAAATTAATCCTCACAAAGATAAATGTTCTGGTACACATACATGTAATTGAAACCATATTTTGTGTATTTCATCTTCACTCTGAGCCTCACATTTGGCTTGAGTTCGTAATCAGTCTCCACTTCCTTAAAAGGCCTCCGCATCCAACACCAATAAAGTCAGCAAATGTAGTAAAACAAGTACAAAGACACACACACTGCAAAACTACCAAGTCATCCCTCACAGGCCGCCACAATCTGCTCCTCATTTACAGTTTCCTCTTTTCACACGGACACTCCTCTACATTCTCCCTGGTGCAACACTGTGGTTAACAGCCATTCCCCTTTTCTCTCGCTCCGTCTCACAGGAATACATACACATTTGTGTCATGGTTTGTTGGTTTTTCCAGTTTGCCTCGAGCTCGCAGCCAATCAACAACCGCCATGACATCAGCAGTTTAAAGTTCTCTTCTGATTGTGACTTGATTGCGGTGATATCACAACCCTGCAGGTGAATTATGAAGACGCACCTTTGCTCCCAAAGCTTCACCAGATATCACAGCGACTGTAACTCCTTCCTGGCTGGGTTTTGGTATTTCGGAGCCTTTGAGCTCCTGGTACGCTGGTTCCACCATCTTGTCTCGCTTCGGCAGGTTCACCCACAGCTGTAAGCCCACCACCGGCTCCTCCGACACGGGCATCTCAGCGTGGACCACGCCCCGACCTGCAGTCATCCACTGGTGGAGAAGGACACGGATTTTACAGATACCAAAGACACAACCGCAAAAGTCAGAGACACTTATTTACAGTTGAGACCAGAAGTTCACATACACTGTATAAAAAGACACAAGACCTTTTTTTTTTTCTTTCTTTCTTTCTTTCTTTCTTTCTTTCTTTCTTTTCTTCATCACTATCTGACATTAAATGTGGCCAAACGTTTCCTGTTTTAGGTAACCTAGGATTACTAAAATTATTTCTATTTGTTAAATGCCAGAATAATGAGAGAGAAATTTTTTTTTGAGAATTTTTTACTACTTTCTTCTGACTTCTGAAGAAAGTAATTAAAATTTTATAGAAATAATTTTGGTAATCCTAAATGACCTAAAACAGGAAAGGTTTAGTCACATTAAATGTCATATAGTGAGAAAAAAAAAGTTTATGTGTCTTTTTATGCAGTGTATGTAAACTTCTGGTTTTAACTGTATGTAAAGGATGTTTTAAAAAGTCCCTGTGTCGATTTACATGAATAACTGTTGCATGACAGTGTGTGATCAGTGGTGTTGGTCGGCGGCTGGTCCACCACTGTGGTGCACTAAGAAATAACTCAATAAATGTTGAAAGATGATGATGGACAATGTTCACGTTGTGGATGAAGATGATGAAATTCTGTACAGGCATAAAAGTTCATGAGTGAATGTGCTGTGGTAACTCTGGGGATCCCCTCATTTCTATTTGTTTTTTTGTTTTTTATTTGAATAATTTCAACATTTCCTTTAGAAATCGCCAATAACACTCATCTCCTGACTTTTCATCTAGAAAAACCATTCTGACATATTTGGTTGAAAGTGAATGCTCTGCAGCTATTCAGTGGATTGACAGTTGCACATTGCATTCATGACCAATTGGCAAAGGTTTCACAGACTAGCTAACAAAAAGATGGTAAATTTAACACCTGCTAAACGTCAGCATGTTGTTTTCATTTTCAACAAATCATCAGTTATTTTCTCGATTATTCAATTAATTGTTTGGCCTCTTAAATAAATGAAAAGGTAAAAAATGTCAATGGCTGTTTCCTAAAATCCAAGATAATGTCCTTAAATGTCTTGTTTTATCTACAACCCAAAGATGCTCAGTTTGATGTCACAGAGAAGGAAAGAAACCAGAAAATATTCTATTTTAAGAAGCAGGAAACAGAGAATTTGGGCTTTTTATGTGTAAAATTTTTTTTTTTGACAGTTGCATCCCAACAAATTCAGGTTAGAAAGCCTCGTGTCATATAAACAGCAATAGCAAGTGGGACAAAATTAGTGCACAAACTTTATTGTTTTAGTCAAACACATTTCTATCTGCCTACATAGCTTCAATATATGAAAGCTACATTTTTGTTTGAATAAACAGTGATACTTAAGAAGTGGAGGAAATGTGGAGCTGGTTTATAGTCGTGATTCAAAACACTGGATGAAAACAGTTAACAGCTTCGGCTTCTCCTTTAGACCAGCGGGAAATTTCCACTCACAAGTTTAATGCAGCTGCCTACTGACAATTCATCTGTGACTGTTCATCAGGCTGTTTGGTTTCTTTTTTTATTGCTGTGTGATGGAAATTTACTCTCAGGGTTGTACTGGATAATGAAACATGTAGAAAGCAGCAAGAAAAATATGACCAAGAGAACAGAGGCAACAGAGAAATCGATCAGTGGTTTGAATTAAATATATAGTTTGATAACTATGCAGCCAA